AATGTAATATTATCATTTAAATATTGAATTGTTCTCTCTTAGTAAGATCCCATTTTCAATAAAATTGCCGTCTTACCTTGACTTGAAGATGAAGTCCATGCTATCCTTCTGGACAAAAATCTCTATTACTTGTTTGTAAAAGTCCTCCTTATCTTCTTGTAGTTTCAAAAGTCTATCGTAAATCTAATCGATAGATTTATGATTCGAAAATTATAAAAGTAGGGTAGACATGTGGATATTATCCGGCTGAACAAAACGTGCATTTATCTAACAGGTACGTTTCCCACAGATCTTATTTTGAGCTATTTTCTAAAATCCCATGGAGAAATCTCATTGCTATTTGTGGAGGGAACCCATGCGCAGCTTACTTCCTGGTTTTGGGGACGCGTCTCTCTCCTCCTCTTCACACACCACACTTTTCGCGGCACACGTACTTACAGCCAATCAGCTCTGAATGATGTGAGATGACGTATGGTGGGGATGGCAGCTCACTTCCCCTATGGGCATTATTTTTTTGCCATACACATTAAATAGGACAATAGTCTGAGAATGCGCAGTGTAGTTTTTATAGTCACCGTTCACTTAGACAGGGAGAGGGAGGGGCATGATCGGGTTTTGTCCCACATGGCTCTAAACAGCTCAATAGGCACACACTGTAGACACTAATTAGAAGAACACAGACTAAAACAGCAATGTATAGACAAATCAGATGATTAAACATGATCTTAAAATATATTTTATATGTTTTGTTATTTATTTTTTGCATTTTTTTGTAATCATTATTTGTAATACCTTCTGCTGACACTAGGTGGGACTGTAGTCGCCACTGTGGGTTCGGTGAAGCATTAAATGCTTACAAATCCAATGTAGGATATAAACACGACTAAACTGCAATGATAGCAAAGCTGTGGCTTGGGTTTTTGGGGTAATAAATTCCAAATCATCGTTGGGCTGACAGCATTTATTGACATAGAGGAAGGAGCCTTATTGTTTACCTTTTTAATATTATTTTTTGTAATTTTCAATTGCTTGGTTTTCGTGAAATTAGCCTGTTTTCCTATTAAAGTGTAACAGATTGATGCATCTCCACAGATCATCTTAAAGGCTTCGGAATCCCCCCCATTGTAGTTAAAAAACTGTCAAAACTAGGGCCCCCAAACAGCATCTTGCATAGGGCCCCAAAAAAAGCTAGAAACGGCCCTGGTCACAGGATATAAAACAATGTTTTTACAAAACTATTTAAAGATATTCAACATACTAGCATAAAAAGAAAGAAAACCATGAAATATTTACACAACCTAAACAATGTAACCTTATTCTGTGTTGAATAAGCTATATTAAAAAAAAAATAAGGGAGAAATAAAACCAGTTGTTGCTTCCCTCATTTTTTCTTGGGCTAAATTGACAAATTGTTTTTTTTGCTACTTTGTTGTTTTTGTTCAGAGGAATATATCATTATATTTGAACAATGAATTGTATTTTAGGCAACATAGCTTTTACAATAACCCCTTTGTTGTTTTTCTTTTTCTTCAGGGGACGGACGGTGTACATCACATTTAAAGATAATCCTTCTGGGTGGCAGAAACTCTGGAAAGAGCTCTGTGGGGAACTTACTTCTGGGGAAAGAGGAGTTTGTCACCAGAGAGAGGACCTCGTGCTCCCGCCGGCTGGGTGTGGTGGCGGGAAGGAGGCTCGCGGTGGTGGACACCCCCGGCTGGTGGTGCGACTTCAGCGCTCAGGACACATCACAGCTGGTGAAGAGGGAGATTGCTAACAGCGTTTCTCTGTGCTCACCTGGGCCACATGTATTTTTAATCACAATAAAGGCAAGCTCAGGTTTCTCTGAGAAGCGTCGGAGGGCGGTGGAGGAGCATGTGGCGCTGCTGGGTGAGAGGGTGTGGAGTCACTGCATGGTGGTCTTCATCTCTGCATACAGGTCTGAACACACAGAGTTTCTAAGGACGGGGGGGGAGGCCCTCAGATGGCTCAGTAAGAAGTGCAGTCACAGGTGTGACCATGTTATCTCCAGCAATGATACTGAAGGCCCCGAGCTGCTGGAGAAAATACAGAAAGTTGTCAAAGAAAATGGACACAGAGTGTTTGAGATGCAGGAACACATTTTAAAGGCTATTTCAGAGAAGAAGAGGAGGGCGGAGGTAGAAGCTCAGAAGAGGTTTGTGAGAATGAAGAAATACAGATCTCTCATGAGAGGTGAGTTCATTGTAATATTTAAAATGTTTTGCTTATTTTTCCAATCTGCTTCGGGTAACACTGGTTATTGTACAATTCCTGCTGTAAGACTATTATTGTCTTTAGATAAGTCTATTTTGTGTAGCCTACTACAATTGCTAAATTTATATTAATTACCCCCATTATACTAAGTGAATCTCATTGGAGCTGGCTCCTGCTTCTTGTTTGAACAAACAAACCTAATAAGTACTGTATATTTCCCTAAATGTTAAATTATTCCTGTAACCCATCTGTTTGTTTACCTGCAAATAATTACATTAATGCTACAGTAAACCAGTGTTTGGGAGTAACTAGTAACAAGGTAAAAGAGTTATGTAATACAAATAAATGAAAAAATATGAATCAGAATCAGAATGCATATATTGCAAAGGTAAATGGTTATTTACACAATAATTTGTCTTGAGTTTGCATATAATTTAACATATCAGAAGGAAAAACAAACAAAACTAGAGAATGCAATTCCTGAAGAAATTGCTAGTGGCAATGCTTTATGCTGAAAAGCTGACGCTAAACTGCTATGCTGAAATGTAATGTGTAAGAAGAAAGTGAAGAATTTAGATTGAAATGATACATGAACACTGGGGGCTTGAATGTGTGATGAGAGAAGAAAAGAAGGGGGTCGCGTTTACAGTTTGAGGCGGATACTGGTGGTGAAGTCTATTTACCAATTGCGGGTCGGGAGTGTGTCCGAGATGCAGTTAATACCCAACAGTAGTCATACGGTCAAGAGGTACCTTTGCGTAGGGAGCGGGCCTTCTGCTACAGCGATATTGTGAGGACTACCTTTTACAAGTTTTTACACGAGTTTGAAGATGTACACAACGATTGGCAGGTCGGGCACTTTCTGTAGAGTGCCCTGCAAACTCTAAAAGAAAGTTTACGTGCCAACGGAAGGCCGTTTTGTGTTACGAGCGGACTTTGTGCCCAAAAGAGCTATTGGAAGTTCACTTTTACCGAGGCTTGCGCCGGGGTTTTAAGGGTGTCCAAACCATTGCTACGTCGGTAGTTGAGTAGATTCCGCGTAATACCCTACAGTAGATGTTACGGCAACCGTACCGCTGGCTAGGTAAGCGTAGTTCAATCAAGTTTTCAAACCGTCAAGTTATAAGACGACGAAAAGGT